TGACCATTAATATAAATTTGTGCAAGTCCCAGAATCTGATTTTTTTACGATGTCAACACCTAAAATATATTCTAAGCCCTGAAAATATAAATATGCTTTACAAAGTGAATTGTCCGTGATTATTTTGGAACCAAGTGCTAAACTGAAAATATAAATGACATGCAGACGTAGACAAATTTATTGGTACCCATACAGCTCACTGAAACCATGCTTCATTCCTTCTTAAAAGTGATGGAATGAAAAGCAATTGTCTCATGTATACCTGCATGCCTTTGGTATGTCATAGATCAAAGCAAAGAAAGTGTATAAATAGATACATTATTCTAAATATGTCATTTCTAAAATGGCCTAGAGAGATTTGTTGGTACCCCTTGAAAAGATTATAAATAATTGGATCATATTGATATTTCAATTAACTGTCTTCTGTTATTAGTATCACACGTCTTTAATCTCGTAATCAATCTGCCGGCCTATTTAAATGACAAAATGTAGTCACTCTGCTGTTTGATTTCGTTATGTTCACTACACTGAACGTGGGCCAGAGAAAGCAAATGAGAGAGTTGCCTGAGGAGATCAGAAAGAAAATTGTAGACCAGCTTATTAAAGGTTAAAGGCTATAAGCCCATCTCCAAGCAGTTTGATGTTCCCTGACTACACTTGCAAATATTTAAGACGTTTAAGGTCCTTGGGAGTGTTGCCAACTTCCCTGGATGTGACTGCAAGAGGAAAATTGTCCCTAGATTGACCAGAAGGATAGTACAAATGGTAGACAAAGAGCCAAGGAAAACCTCCAATGAGATACATGCTGAATTTCAAGGGCAAGGTACATTTATTTCTGGTAACACAATCCGTTTCTTTTTGAGAGACAGTGAGCTCAAAAGGAGACTTTACTGTTGAAAGAAAAACATAAAAAGCCAGACTAGATTTTGTTAAAATGCATAGTGACAAGCCACAATCCTTCAGGGTGAATGTCCTTTGAACAGATCAGACAAAACTAGAGCTTTTTGTCAAACTATATCAGCTCTATGCTCACAGAGGATAAAAAGTCAGCTTTCAAAGAAAAGAATACCCTGCCTACTGTGAGACATGGAGGAGGCTCTGTTGTGTTTTTGGGCTGCTTTACTGCATCTGGTAAGGGGGTATCTTGAATCTGTGTAGTGCACAATGAAATCTCAATACTATCAATTCTAGAGCAAAATGTACACGCCAGTGTCATAAAGCTCTGTCTGTCGCCGGTCATGGGTCCTCCAACAGGATAATGACTCAAAACATGCAGCTAAAAGCACCCAAGAACGGTTAAGAAAAATACATTGGACTATTCTAAAATTCACTTTTATGAGCCCTGAGCTCAGAATCCTATTAAACATCTATGGAAAGAGGTGAAACATCCAGTCTGGAGAAGGCAACCTTCAATCTTGAGACTGCTGAAACAGTTTGCTAAGAAGAGTGGTCCAAACTACCTGTTGGCAGATGCTGTCTCACTGAGAGGTGCAAATATCACTCAACAAAATATTAGATTAGGGGCCTCTTCATTTTTGTCCATGCCATTATTATTTGTTTTATTTAACATTTTCTGTCGAGTTAAACGTTTGATTGTTTTTAAATATGGAATAAACAATGATAGATGCTTGGTTCAAGTTATTTCCGAGAAAATTGTGGGTTCTTCTTTTTGTAGTTGGGTACTAACAAATATGTTCACATCTGTGCAGTCTAGTATCCCTGTAAACAGGACAAGCAGGAGATTATGTTAGGGGTTTTATCTAAAAAGAAAATTATTGATGAAGAAATTGAAGAAAACTCATTTTTGTTTTTGCGTAAATAATAAGTTAAAATGTATGCTGCTAAAGGAAAGCTGAATCTGTCAAAAAAACAGCGTAACTGTAATAGACAGAGCAGTTACTCTGGGTCCACAGCTGAATACACCTGCTAAAGGATTTGTACTGCTTTACAGCAATCTTGTGATTTAAATACATTTTCCACACTATATAGCATGACAGATGCCATAAACCGTTCTGATTAAGCAGTTTAGCTTCCTATGTCATTTCTCCACCTCCAGCCTTGTTAATGGGCAGTAAATCAGCATTATCTCGTCATCAGGTGATTAGGGAGCTGACCTAGCAACATGCTCTAGAAATGGTAGCAAGTAGCCCCAGTCCTGTTAGATCTAAATAGCAGTATGTCTTTATCTTAATTCATGTGTTGCTTGGTAAGTTATATTTCATTTTCTGTTTTCTGCAGCCGATATGTAAAAATAACCAGTGAAGGTGAAGAAAACGATGCACCTTTGCACTGCAATAAAGAACATACTATTAATGGAAATGGTCCAAACGGAGTGCATGAAGAGGGTTCTCCAAGTAAGATTTGCTTTTATGGGTGGTATGGTGTATTAAAAGCTAGGAAGATGATTACAGCCTCATTGGAATATATTTATGGGTCCCCAGCTTCTCCCCAGATAATGAGGCTGACCATTTAAAGGTTTTTCTTGTTGTTTTCTTTTTTGTTTTTTTTTTAGCAAGTAGATTTTTATTTGGTTTTTCTTGTTTTAAACCAAATCTGTTGGTGATTTAAACTAGACTCTTATATATTTATAGTATATTTGGGTGACCATTAATATAAATTTGTGCAAGTCCCAGAATCTGATTTTTTTACGATGTCAACACCTAAAATATATTCTAAGCCCTGAAAATATAAATATGCTTTACAAAGTGAATTGTCCGTGATTATTTTGGAACCAAGTGCTAAACTGAAAATATAAATGACATGCAGACGTATTATATTTAAAGTATATTTTGCTGACCATTAATATAAATTTGTGCAAGTCCCAGAATCTGATTTTTTTACGATGTCAACACCTAAAATATATTCTAAGCCCTGAAAATATAAATATGCTTTACAAAGTGAATTGTCCGTGATTATTTTGGAACCAAGTGCTAAACTGAAAATATAAATGACATGCAGACGTAGACAAATTTATTGGTACCCATACAGCTCACTGAAACCATGCTTCATTCCTTCTTAAAAGTGATGGAATGAAAAGCAATTGTCTCATGTATACCTGCATGCCTTTGGTATGTCATAGATCAAAGCAAAGAAAGTGTATAAATAGATACATTATTCTAAATATGTCATTTCTAAAATGGCCTAGAGAGATTTGTTGGTACCCCTTGAAAAGATTATAAATAATTGGATCATATTGATATTTCAATTAACTGTCTTCTGTTATTAGTATCACACGTCTTTAATCTCGTAATCAATCTGCCGGCCTATTTAAATGACAAAATGTAGTCACTCTGCTGTTTGATTTCGTTATGTTCACTACACTGAACGTGGGCCAGAGAAAGCAAATGAGAGAGTTGCCTGAGGAGATCAGAAAGAAAATTGTAGACCAGCTTATTAAAGGTTAAAGGCTATAAGCCCATCTCCAAGCAGTTTGATGTTCCCTGACTACACTTGCAAATATTTAAGACGTTTAAGGTCCTTGGGAGTGTTGCCAACTTCCCTGGATGTGACTGCAAGAGGAAAATTGTCCCTAGATTGACCAGAAGGATAGTACAAATGGTAGACAAAGAGCCAAGGAAAACCTCCAATGAGATACATGCTGAATTTCAAGGGCAAGGTACATTTATTTCTGGTAACACAATCCGTTTCTTTTTGAGAGACAGTGAGCTCAAAAGGAGACTTTACTGTTGAAAGAAAAACATAAAAAGCCAGACTAGATTTTGTTAAAATGCATAGTGACAAGCCACAATCCTTCAGGGTGAATGTCCTTTGAACAGATCAGACAAAACTAGAGCTTTTTGTCAAACTATATCAGCTCTATGCTCACAGAGGATAAAAAGTCAGCTTTCAAAGAAAAGAATACCCTGCCTACTGTGAGACATGGAGGAGGCTCTGTTGTGTTTTTGGGCTGCTTTACTGCATCTGGTAAGGGGGTATCTTGAATCTGTGTAGTGCACAATGAAATCTCAATACTATCAATTCTAGAGCAAAATGTACACGCCAGTGTCATAAAGCTCTGTCTGTCGCCGGTCATGGGTCCTCCAACAGGATAATGACTCAAAACATGCAGCTAAAAGCACCCAAGAACGGTTAAGAAAAATACATTGGACTATTCTAAAATTCACTTTTATGAGCCCTGAGCTCAGAATCCTATTAAACATCTATGGAAAGAGGTGAAACATCCAGTCTGGAGAAGGCAACCTTCAATCTTGAGACTGCTGAAACAGTTTGCTAAGAAGAGTGGTCCAAACTACCTGTTGGCAGATGCTGTCTCACTGAGAGGTGCAAATATCACTCAACAAAATATTAGATTAGGGGCCTCTTCATTTTTGTCCATGCCATTATTATTTGTTTTATTTAACATTTTCTGTCGAGTTAAACGTTTGATTGTTTTTAAATATGGAATAAACAATGATAGATGCTTGGTTCAAGTTATTTCCGAGAAAATTGTGGGTTCTTCTTTTTGTAGTTGGGTACTAACAAATATGTTCACATCTGTGCAGTCTAGTATCCCTGTAAACAGGACAAGCAGGAGATTATGTTAGGGGTTTTATCTAAAAAGAAAATTATTGATGAAGAAATTGAAGAAAACTCATTTTTGTTTTTGCGTAAATAATAAGTTAAAATGTATGCTGCTAAAGGAAAGCTGAATCTGTCAAAAAAACAGCGTAACTGTAATAGACAGAGCAGTTACTCTGGGTCCACAGCTGAATACACCTGCTAAAGGATTTGTACTGCTTTACAGCAATCTTGTGATTTAAATACATTTTCCACACTATATAGCATGACAGATGCCATAAACCGTTCTGATTAAGCAGTTTAGCTTCCTATGTCATTTCTCCACCTCCAGCCTTGTTAATGGGCAGTAAATCAGCATTATCTCGTCATCAGGTGATTAGGGAGCTGACCTAGCAACATGCTCTAGAAATGGTAGCAAGTAGCCCCAGTCCTGTTAGATCTAAATAGCAGTATGTCTTTATCTTAATTCATGTGTTGCTTGGTAAGTTATATTTCATTTTCTGTTTTCTGCAGCCGATATGTAAAAATAACCAGTGAAGGTGAAGAAAACGATGCACCTTTGCACTGCAATAAAGAACATACTATTAATGGAAATGGTCCAAACGGAGTGCATGAAGAGGGTTCTCCAAGTAAGATTTGCTTTTATGGGTGGTATGGTGTATTAAAAGCTAGGAAGATGATTACAGCCTCATTGGAATATATTTATGGGTCCCCAGCTTCTCCCCAGATAATGAGGCTGACCATTTAAAGGTTTTTCTTGTTGTTTTCTTTTTTGTTTTTTTTTTAGCAAGTAGATTTTTATTTGGTTTTTCTTGTTTTAAACCAAATCTGTTGGTGATTTAAACTAGACTCCTTATTTAGCCTTGTTAGTCAGAGAAACCTCCTTCTGTGAGCCTCTTTTACAGCTTGTCCAGAAGCACATGGCAAACAAGGCGGTGGACTGGTATCTTTATGAATTTTGTCAGAGAAGGGGGGTGGAATCACTGCTTGAGTCTAATGGCTTAGGTTAGGTAGCTCTTCTGCAGGAATGTGGAGACCCCTTAGGTTAGACAGCTCTTCTGCAGGAATCAGGAGACCCCTAGAGAATGGTCTAGGACCAACATTTTTGCAACTTGTTTCACTTTGTTAGAGGGGACCGACATTAGGATTAAGTCTCCACCAGATGTAATTCACCTGTCTAGTGAGTATACCATTATTGACTACTAAGGCATCCTCATTGAACAGGTGGCAGTTTGCTGGGCTTAGGTCTGAAGTCAGTTTCCAGGTACCCAAGCAACAACGTAAAACTAGTTTTAGATGTAGACACTGCAGAGGCATTTCTGGCTAACAAGGGTAATACCAGGCTATGTGCCCTGTTAGGCAGGACTGCAAGTTTTAAAATGGCTGACAGGTTCACTTGTAAACAACACTATCATGAGAGGCTCATTGAAGTCACCATTGTTGAACTCTCTTTTGGAAATGCTTCCCTCATGACAGAGCCACATCAAAGATTCCTAAATATGCACACTTGTAATACCAAGTATGTAATGTCAGGGCAGGTGAGCAACCTATCAGGCACCCCTGGCTCTAGCTTAACCTGAGTGGAGCAATAGCAGTCTTCCCAAAATGGTCAGCTATGGGTATCTGCTGGTACACACTGACATGAAAATTGTTGCATTCCTTCTGTCTCAGTGGGTGTCTGGATGCAAAACTTACACAATTTTAAGTTATGACTCCGTTTTGTTTCTGTGTTTCATTCTTTGTCCTGCTCCTTCTTCTCTTTGATTTCACAGCGATTGTGTTAATTCTCTATATTGATGCATGTAAAGGGCCATTACTGATGTCGTTGTGATATTACTCTTTTTTTTTTTTTTTTCTAAGGTGAAATGGAAACCGATGAACCAGATGATGAGTCTAGCCAAGATCAGGAGCTTCCTTCAGAGAATGAAAACAGCCAGTCAGAAGATTCTGTTGGAGGCGATAATGACTCGGAAAATGGATTGTGCACTGAAGAAACTTGCAAAGGACAATCACTCACGGGGCAGAAAAAGCGCTTGTTTACATTCCAGTTCACTAATTTAGGCAATGCTGACATCAGCTATATCAAAGATGACACTCGGTACATTCGATTTGATGACAGACAACTCAGGCTAGATGGTAGGTCAAACATCTCATCTGTTGTCCTTGGCACTTTAATATCACAGTCTTTAGATTCTGTATCATGTCCACATCCTTCTACACCTTTTAAACCTCCTTTATCTGTTTTTCCCTTTTTATTGTTGAGTAGGGATTCCTATTTTGATATATACATGTCTTTTGACCATATAAATACATTTTTTTGTAGCTATTCTGTTTGTATTTGGTTATTACATTACTTGCCTTGGAAAGCCTAATAAAGTAGAAAATATGGTAAAATGATCACCAGCCAATTCAGTTCAAATAGAATGTCCAAGTCTTACAAAAGTACACTTTGTTTTATTTAAACAAACTAAGAATAACATTGATATGAGTAGGCATTTTATCATTATTTGTAATGATACGGCATCAAATTGCTGTTTTGTGTTAACATAGAGTGAGGCAGAACAGAAACTGACTACATTACGCTTCAGAAAGATTTCTACAAACTAGTCATTTAAAAAAATTAACCTCTGGAAGTTATGCATTTTTTTAATAAACACACGGGGGTTTTCAGGTGACATTACAGGTATATCAGGATAAAGAATTTAGAAAACTTGATCATAGAGCTGAAACCAGAGGTAGTAATTTTAAGACTGCTTTCAGCTTCTTTACTTTCTTTGTTACAAATTCCCTGCTGCTGCACAGTTTGACTTCACTAGCAAAGATGTTTCTTACATCTAGGCCCAGCTGATATGAATGTTAGAGCAGGATACTTGGTTCTAACTCCCAAAGCACTCCATGTTAGAAAGGGCATGCCAAGCTGAATGACTCAATACATACATTTGTTTTCATTGGTAGTGGCAAAGCACAAAGGTTGCTTTTGATTTAAATTTATTTCGCAGGTCTCTCCCTGTATCCATTTGATGTATCTGTAGCTCTTGTGAGCATACCCTTAATGCTTTTATTTTGATAAGCTTTCTATACATTTTCTATTGCTTTGTGACACACACGTTTCTTTTTATCTTCTGTGTTTCTAGAAAGCTCTTATCTTGCTTTAGACTGGGATCCCAAAATGAAGAAAAAATACTTTGATGAAAATACTGCAGAGGTAAGCATTCTCCAGTACAGTCATTTTCATATAATGTAAGGAGCAAACTTCAGAAATAAGAATTCAAACACAAATTAAAATGTGTATTGTGCAGATACAGGTTCACTTTAATGACCTTCCCTCCAGCAGTATATGCATCCCTTTCTTTAGCTCCCCCTTAGCTTGATGCATCTGCAGGGTTCAAAGATGGACAGCCCTGTGTAAGTTGAATCAGATCTTACACTATCTTACACTAGCTGCCCCCCCCCCCCCCCCGCTTTTCTC